TGGGTGTGGTGGTGGGTACCTATAATCCCAGCTACTTAGGAGGCTGAAACAGAAGAGTCACTTGAACCCGAGAAGCGCACAGGTTGCCGTAAGGCAAGATGGTGCCACTGCACACCAGCCTGGGCAACAGAACAAGACTGTTTTTTATTTTTATTTTTTTAAAAAAAGGCAGTCATGGTAAACATACCTGTAGTTCCAGCTACTTAGGAAGCTGAGGTGGGAAAATGACTTGAGCCCTGGAGTTCAGAGTTTAAGGCTGCAAGGAGCTGTGATTGCACCACTATACTCCTGCCTGGGCAACAGAGTGAGAAACTGTCTCTAAGAAAAGAAAAATAAACAATGACTCACTCAACAGTTAACCACTGCTAATAGTCTGGTGTGAGGAAAAGCAGCACATTTAAGAAACCCTGTTTCCTCATTTGTTTGAACCTCTGACTCTGTGATGAAATGCAGCTCTCAGGAAGAATCCTTGAAGACAGGACAGGATAGAGTACGTACCCCCAACATCTCTTGCTTATTAGATTCCTTAAAAGATAAATGACTTGGCTGGGCGCTGTGGCTCACGCCTGTAATCCTAGCACTTTGGGAGGCCGAGGTGAGTGAATCACCTGAGATCAGGAGTTCAAGACCAGCCTGGCCATCATGGTGAAACCCCATGCTTTAAAAAAAAAAAAAAAAAAAAAAAAAAAAAAGATAAATGACTCTAGGCTGGCTCACCCTGTAATCCCAGCACTTTGGGAGGCCAAGGCAGGCAGGTTGCTTGAGGTAAGGAGTTTGAGACCGGCCTGGACAACATGATGAAACCCTATCTCTACTAAAAATATAAAATTAGCCCAGTGTGGTGGCAGGTGTCTGTAGTCCCAGCTACTCAGGAGGCTGAGGCAGAACTGCTGGAACCCGGGAGGTGGAGGTTGCAGTGAGCCGAGATCATGCTACTGCGCTCCAGCCTGGGCAAAAGAGTAAGACTGGGCACAGTGACTCACACCTGTAATCTCAGCACTTTAGGAGGCTAAGGCAGGAGGATCACTTGAAGCCAGGTGTTCAAAACCAGCCTAGTCAACATAGCAAGACCCCATCTCTACAAAAGAAAAATTTCAAAATTAGCTAGGTGTGGTGGCAGGCAACTGTAGTACCATCTACTGGAGAGGCTGAGGCAGGAAGATCCTTTGAGCCCTGGAGTTGGAGGCTGCAATGAGCCATGATTGCACCACTGCACTTCGGCCTGGGCAACAGAGTGAGACCCTGTCTCAAAAAGAAAAGACTTCTTAATAAAACTAACTTTAATTATTTATGCCTTTTTTGTTTGTTTTGAGATGGAGTCTCGCTCTGTCACCCAGGCAGGAGTGCAGTGGCATGATCTAGGCTCACTGCAACCTCTGCCTCCTGGATTCAAGCAGTCCTCCCACCTCAGCCTCCTGAGTAGTTGGGACCACAGGCACATGCCACCAGGCCCAGCCTGGGCAACAGAGTGAGACCCCTGTCTACAACAAATAGGAAAAATTAGCCAGGTGTGGTGGCACGTGCCGGTTGGCCTAAGTGTGGGAATGTGGCCCACCTGAGGCAGGTGATCTATAAGCACACTCTGACCTTGCGGCCGTAAGCTTGTCCTCGTGTACTGAAGAAAAACAGAATAACTGCAAGAATGTTCCCTGCTTTATTGTTTTGTTTTGTTTTGTTTTTCAGGCAGAGCCTCGCTCTATCACCCAGGGCAGGGTGCAGTGGCATGATCTCGGCTCACTGCAACCTCCACCTTCTGGGTTCAAGCGATTCTCCTGCCTCAGCCTCCCGAGTAGCTGAGACTACAAGCACGTGCCATAATGCCTGGCTCATTTTTGTATTTTTAGTAGAGATGGGGTTTTACCATGTTGGCCAGGCTGGTCTGGAACTCCTGACCTCAAGTGATCTCCCTACCTTGGCCTCCCAAAGTGCTGAGATTATAGGCGTGAGCCACTGCACCCATCCCCTGCTTTAGTGTTTACCAGAATATTGCCCTCAAATCATTGGAAACAGTTTAACATAAGTGGCAATCTTTAACCCCTGGAGTCATTCTCTATGTGATGCTGAAATCATGTATAAAAGTCTGAGACCAGGCATGGTGCCTCTGCCTAGAATCCTAGTGTTTTGAAAGGCCAAGGAGGGAGGATTACTGGAGGCCAAGAGTTTAAGACCCTCCTGGGTAATAGCAAGACCACATCTCTACAAGAAATTAGCCAGGTACAATACCACACACCTGTAGTCCCAGCAACTCAGGAGGCCGAGGCAGGAGGAGCCCAGGAGTTCAAGGCTGCAGTGAGCTATGATGGCATCTCGAAAACAAGTCTTTTTTTTTTTTTTTTTTTTTTTTTGAGACGGAGTTTCTCTCTTGTTACCCAGGCTGGAGTGCAATGGCGCGATCTCGGCTCACCGCAACCTCCGCCTCCCAGGTTCGGGCAATTCTCCTGCCCCAGCCTCCTGAGTAGCTGGGATTACAGGCATGCGCTACCATGCCCAGCTAATTTTTTGTATTTTTAGTAGAGACGGGGTTTCACCACGTTGACCAGGATGGTCTCGATCTCTTGACCTCGTGATCCACCCGCCTCGGCCTCCCACAGTGCTGGGATTACAGGCTTGAGCCACCGCGCCCGGCCGAAAACAAAAGTCTTAGAAAAGCCTCTGCTTTGGTTCAGATCTTCCTAAAACTAACTTTAATTCTTTATGTGTTTTTGTTTGATTTGTTTCACTCTGTCGCCCAGGCTGGAGAGCAGTGGCATAATCTCAGCTCACTGCAACCTCCACCTCCCAGGTTAAAATGATTCTCCTGCCTCAGCCTCCTGATTAGCTGGGATTACAGGTGCACACCACCATGCCCAGCTAATTTTTGTATTTTTAGTAGAGATGGGTTTCGTCATGTTGCCCAGGCTGGTCTCAAACTCCTGACCTCAAGTGATCCACCTGCCTTGGCCTCCCAGTGTTGAGATTACAGGCATGAACCACCTGGCCTTGTTAGGTCTTGATTTGACCCCCAGAGCTGTACTATCTTTGGCAGGTCATAATTTTTCTAGGCTTCAACTTCATCTTCACAAAGATGTGCCTCAGGTAGGAAAAACTGGGCAATTTCTTGGGTCTCTCCTACCTCTCCATCGGTTTCCTGACCTGAATCTTCCTCCATCAGAGAAGATTCTGGATAATCCAGCTCTGGCTGAATCACATCAGGCTGTAGGTGAAAGAAGGCAGGTGGGTGAGTCATTTACCTAACCAGGCCAGGCAGCTTCCCCAGCTACAAAACAGAGTTGCTCTATGCCTGCTCAGGGCTTCCCAATGCTCTCCTCTGCCACTCCCAGCCAGGTGGCACAGTTTCCAGCCACACCACAAGGTCTCTCACAGGAGCCGGGCATCAGCTTCCTAGCTAGCCTCTCTGCTTTCATTCCCACCCACTTCCAATCTCATTGTCCCACAGTTGCCAAGGTAAGGTTTTTATACAACAGAGCTTGTTGCTGGGATTATGGGTGTGAGCCACCATGCCCAGCCAAAATTTTTTTTAGAGACAGGGTCTCACTCACTCATAGGCAGGAGTGCAGTGGTAGAATCATAACTCACCGTAACCTTAACTTCTGGGTTCAAGTGATCCTCCCACCTCAGCCTCCCAAGTAGCTGGGATTACAGACTTGTGTCACCATGCTAATTTTAAAATTTTTTGTAGAGGCAGGGTGTCTCACTATGTTGCTTAGGCTGATCTCAAACTGTTTGCTTCAAGCAATCCTCCCACCTCAGCCTCCTGAAGTGCTGGAATTATAGGCCTACAACTCCTTTAATACTCCCAAAAACCCCATGCAGTATGTTTTACTATCACCATTTTACAGATAAGGAAACCAGAGTTCAGCAAGGTCAAGTGCCTTGCCATTGCGTATAAGTCCATTTTCACGCTGCTGATAAAGACTGGGTCATTTATAAAGAAAAAGAGGTTTAATGAACTCACAGTACCACGTGGCTGAGGACGTCTCACAATCACGGTGCAAGGCGAAAAGCACATCTTACATGGCAGCAGGCAAGACAGAATCAGAGCCAAGTAAAAGCAGAACCCCTTATAAAATCATCAGATCTTGTGAGACTTATTCACTACCTTCAAAATTTAAAAAAAAGAAAAAATGAATCAAGGACCAGAGACTTCGAAATTAAAAAAAAAAAAAGATAGAAAGAAAAGAGACTTATTCACTACCATGAGAACAGTATGTGGTAGACTGCTCCCATGATTCAATGATCTCCCACCAGGTCCCTCCCACAACACATGGGAACTAAGGGAACTATAATTCAAAATGAGATTTGGGTGGGGACACAGCCAAATCATATTACCCTGGTTCACATGGCTAGAATCGGTGGAGTCAGGATTCAAACCAAGAACCCTTATGAACAGAACTCATAAGAGTGCAACTGTGGCAGGAGGCTGTGACCCAGAGCGGTATTATGGCAGCTTACCAAAAGATACTCAGTAAAAGCCAGAAAGACTGGACCAAGCTTGTCCAACCTGTGGTCCCCCCAGGCTGCATGCAGCCCAGGATGGCTTTGAATGAGGCCCAAATGCAAATCTGTAAACATGAGATTTATGCACAAACTGTTTTTTTGTTTTAGCTCATCAGCTATTAGTGTTATTTTATGTGTGACCCAAGACAATTCTTCCAATCTGGCTCAGGGAAGCCAAAAGATTGGATACCCCTGAACTAGATCCCAGGGTGGGGAGTGGCTAAGACCCCCAAGCCAGGGTCTTTCCTCCAGTGGAAGCCATAGTGCCTCTCCACGGCCAAGACAGTGAGTGATTTAAGAATGGAATTACTGGCTTAGAAGCCAAAGTTTGACTGTAGTATCTCCAACTCTGGATCCAGTTTTGAAAATCAGAATTCTTTGGTAATGGAAAACTCAAAATAGGAGAGCCTGCCCTTAGGGTATTTGTAGAGGGCTTTGAAGTGGTCTCAAATTACTGACAAGTGAAGATGAGGTACAGTTAACAAAGCAACCAGTGCAGAAGCAGGTCTGAAGGGCAATTCACATTTATTTCCTCATCATGCTGACTAAACATACTTCAAACACAGCAGAAGGTCAAGAGTCTGTTTTGAAGGTAAAGCGTTTCTTGCCAACGGTGAACGGTGGTCCACGAAGAGTAACTTAAGCATCATCTTCAAGCTGGGGCTCCAGCTCTGGGCAAACAGCTACTGGGTGGACCTGGTCCTTCTGGCCTGGATGGGGGCCTCCAAGGAACTACTTGTCCTCATACTTGTGCTTGATGTGTTTCCACAGCTTCTACATTTTAAAGACAAGAGCCACAAACTTTGACCTTTGCCTCTCACATTTTACAACTATTCCCACTACCGTGGTCTCTAAAACGAGCTTGGGAGAAACACATGCCATGCCCTGATTAAAAACATACGCTTGCAGTGGGCAAACTGAAAGCAATCCTAGGCTTGATGCACAATTTTCTTTTTCGAGACAGAGACTTGCTCTGTCACCCAGGCTGCAGTGCAGTGGTGCAATCTTGGCTCACTGCAACCTCCATTCACTGCAACCTCTACCTCCCTCCTGGGTTCAAGCGATTCTCCTGCCTCAGCTTCTTGAGCAGCTGGGAATACAGGTGTGTACTACCCAGTTACTTTTTGTATTTTTGGTAGAAATGGGGTTTTGCCATGTTGGGCAGGCTGGTCTCGAATTCCTGACATCAAGTGATCCACCCACTCTGGCCTCTCAAAGTGCTGGAACGACAGGCGAGAGCCACTCACCCAACCTTCATGCACAACTCTTGGCATTTATAAAAACGATGCTTTCAATCACCAGGTGAAGTAAGTGGAAAGGGATGATCTTTAGGAAATTCAGGTTGAGATTGAGGGAAGTGCCCCAAAGCACACAATCATTAATAAAAACAGTCTGGAAGACATCTCAGTTCAACTCCCAGGTATTATTGAAGAGGTTGTAAGTGCATAGTCCCAAAATATTTCACCATAAGCCATTTAAAACATTTCCTGGGACCTAAATTGGCTGAAATTCTCATTCCCAAAAGCACAAGAGGCTAAGCACAGTGGCTCACGACTGTAAACCCAGCATTTTAGGAGGCTAAGGCAGGAGGACTGCTTGAGCTCGGGAATTCTAGATCAGCCTGGGCAACAGGGTGAAATCCCATCTCTATAAATAATACAAAAATTAGCTGGGCGTGATGGTACATGCCTGTGGTCCCAGCTACTTGGGAAGCTGAGGTGGCAGGATCACTTGAACTCAGGAGGTCAAGGCTGCAGTGAGCTGTGATCATGCCACTGCACTCCAACCTGGGGGACAGAAAAAACATGTGTCCAAAAAAAAAAAAAAAAAAAGGCTGGATGCAGTGGCTCATGCCTGTAATCCTAGCACTTTGGGAGGCTGTGAGCGAATCACAAGGTCAGGAGGTCGAGACCAGCCTGGCCAACATGGTGAATGCTCGTCTCTACGAAAAAAATACAAAAATTAGCCAGGCATGGTGGCGCGCGCCTGTAATCCCAGCTACTCAGAAGGCTGAGGCAGGAGAATTGCTTGAATCTGGGATGTGGAGGTTGCAGTGAGCCGAGATCGCTCCACTGCACTCCAGCCTGGGCAACAAAGAAGACTCCATCTCAAAAAAAAAAGCACAGGGAAAGTGGGTGAGTTATAACAGCATACTTAGCTGTCTTTCCAGATCAATGGGAATGGTCAACAGAACCACTTCCAAGGGATGGGACAGTGGCAATGCCTTCACATGGGCAGGAAGTTGCACTGGTCACAGGTGGCATAGCACTAGTGGACAGTGCCTTCCCAGGCTGCAGAGTCAGACAGCCTCAAATTAAAAACACAAGTGAGTGCTGGAACAGGGCTATATATATAAGGCCTACTCCAATACAGTCATAATTTACCAATATAAAGCATACCCTGCACCTAGCACAGTGCCTAGTACATAAGAGTTAAAAATGTGTTGTGATTCCTGTCTCATGCTTCCACTTTCTCCTAAGGAATTTAAACAATGGTTATTTTTTAGTGGTACCACCTACCAGAAATGTGGCTCCCTGCCTGCATCTCATGTAATCCTCACAACAGTGCTCAGGTCACTATTTATATCTCCATCTCACCATTAAAACTGGACCTCAGAGAAGAAAATTGGCCAACTTAATTCCACAGTTAAGTGACAAGGACCAGTGTTCCTATCCAAAGCTTTCTGATTTCATAGCCCCCCACCTCATTAATACTAACGCCTACGTGGGAAGCCTTGGGGACCGGAAGCGCCATCTTGAAACTACAGCCACGGCGTCTAAGGTGTCTCATGTCCTTTTCACGACCGTTGCCTGCTCAAGTCTGCCCTAGAAACCCTGAGTCAGAGGTTCCGTTTCTGGCTCTGACTTGCCCCTGGCTTCCTGGTGGTGTGCACTTAATAAGTCCTTTGCTCTGAGTAGCCTTTAGTTTTCGCTTCTGAAAACTGACAAGTGGGTACGTGGGGTGGCACAAAGCAATACTTACAACCCCTGTAGTGAGATAGATTAACCTCGCTCAACGTTTTATAATTCACATCAAGCCAAGAGGACGGACGGCAGACTCGAGACAGAAGACGCCGACAGTTTACCCCTTACCCCCTGCCTGGTGAAGTTAGACTGAGTCCCGTCCCACCTCAACTCCCACTGTCAACCCTCAGGTGGGCCCAAGGTCAGGGATGGCCCAGGCCCTCACCCCCTCGTTGATGTGGTCGTAGATGGCGTTCGCGCCTTGATCGAAGGCGCGCTCGAAGAACAGGACGCCCACGACGATGGTGAGGGCGAACGTGGAAGTCCTGCGGAACAGCAGGGAGTAGATTTTCCCAGTCAACGTCCGGGACGCCATGTTTCTTCACAGTCTATCTAGCGCCACTGCGCCTGCGCCGGGGCCGACCTCGTTCTTCAAAGACCCTAGACCTGCAACACTTTATGGGATTTGTAGTTCCTCTGAATCTCAGTGTTGGTTGTTTTGAAACACAGAGGTACTGCTGTCCTGGGCATGAGTAAAAAAAAATATCATGAGATTCATATCAGAACAGCCCAAATAATCTGATAAAATTTATTACGCAATTTTTCTTCAGAATTCCTGGCTGTTTAAATAGGTTAAACTACAACTCCCAGAAGCCCTCGCGCGCGATCACCTTCCCCCCCGCCCTCCCCCTGGTCCCTTCTTAGATTTCCAAAGCTCTCTGGGAAAGGCGAACTGATAGCTAAGGCGGGACTACGAATCCCAGCAAGCAGTGCGCGACGCGCGGACGCAGCAGGAGGAGCCCGGAGCTATAGCCACCTGGGAGACAGGTACTTTCTTCGGCGGGACATGGCGGTAGGGCGAGTCCTAGTCTCTTTTCCCCGCACGGAAGACTTGAGCTCTTCCTTCTCTGTCCGTGCACCCCGCGGGGAGACGCACCATTTCTTGGGATGGGGAGTGTATAGAGGGCGAGGGGATCTGGGTTACCGAGACCCTGGCTCATCCCTTCGCCTTGACCCTCCACCAGCCCCAAGTCCAGGCCAAGAGTTGGGGCCTGTGGCAAAAGTCTTGTCCTGGAAGTTGAACCCTCCACCCTGGCTTAAGGGCAGGGACAGATATGCCCTGCTTCCTGTTCCTCTCACCCCTCGGTTTCGCACCCAGCAACCCTGGCCTGGAAGGCTGGAGACTTGGGACCTGCTTAGGATAGGAAAGAGCAAAGGGCTTGGAGTACCCGGGGCATTCAACACATGTTTTCCCAGCACCCGTTCTGGTCCCTGCTCTGGGGACCCTGCAGTGAACGTGTCCCCGCTCTCACAGAGCGCTCAATCTACTGAGTGGGCGGATGGGGAGGTACAGGACATGAAACAGATAGTGCTTTGGTTGACTAGAGAGGTAGTGGTGGTGACATTGCACCCTGGGTGGCTGCTCTGAGGGTGACACTTGACTAGAGACTTGAATAGTAGCAAGTTGAACAGGAAAACGTCGGTGCAGAGGCCTTGAGGCGGCTGCAGTCCTGGGATGTTTGAGGGAAAGAAGTAGAGTGGACTGTGAACAGGTGAACTCATGTCTGGTCAGCTCATATCTGGCCTTGTAACCCACATTAAGGAGCCTTGTTGTCTTTGTTTTTGTTGTTAGAGACAGGGTCTCACTGTGTTGCTTAGGCTGATCTCCAACTCCTGGGCTAATGCGATCTTCCTGTCTTGGCCTCCCATGGTGCTGGGACTACAGGTCTGAGCCACGGTGTCTGGTCAAGGAGTCTTGTTTTTTTTTTTTTTTTCTAATTGTACTATGAAGCCACTGAAGGGTTTTTGGCAGAAATGTGACAAGATTTAATTTGCACTTTAATGTCATCTTTCTCGCTGGTCTCTGGACTTCGAGGGGGAAGTTATTGTAGTAGATCAGTTGAGGGAAGATGGGTGGTTATTTTTAATTTTTTTTTCCTTTTGAGATGGAGTCTCGCTCTGTCGCCCAGGCTGGAATGCAGTGCCACGATCTTGGCTCACTGCAACCTCCACCTCCCAGGTTCAAGTGATTCTCCTGCTTCAGCCTCCCAAGTAGCTGGGATTACAGGTGCCCACCACCACACCCAGCTAATGTAGAGATGAGGTTTCACCATGTTGGCCAGGCTGGTCTCAAACTCCTAACCTCAGGTGATCCGGCCACCTCGGCCTCCCAAAGTGCTGGGATTACAGGCATGAGCCACCACACCCGGCCTAATGGGCGGTAATTTAGATTAGGGTGTGGAGCAGAGCAGTGATCAGATTTGGGATGTAATTTGGGGGGTAGGGCAGTCAGAGCAAGCTAGCAGACGCGTAGGGTGCACAGAAAAGAGGAATCGAGAAAAATATCTAAATTTTTTTTTTTTTGAGACGGAGTTTCACTCTTGTTACCCAGGCTGGAGTGCAATGGCATGATCTCGGCTCACTGCAACCTCCGTCTCCTGGGTTCAGGCAATTCTCCTGTCTCAACCTCCTGAGTAGCTGGGATTACAGGCACGCGCCACCATGCCCAGCTAATGTTTTGTATTTTTAGTAGAGACGGGGTTTCACCATGTTGACCAGGATGGTCTTGATCACTTGACCTCGTGATCCACCCGCCTCAGCCTCCCAAAGTGCTGGGATTACAGGCTTGAGCCACTGTGCCCGGCTAAATTTTTTTTTTTTTTAAGACAGAGTCTTGCTCTGTCGCCCAGGCTGGAGTGCGGTGGTGTGATCTCAGCTCACTGCAACCTCTGCCTCAGCCTCCCGAGTAACTGGAATTACAGGTGCCTGTCCCCACACCTGGCTAATTTTTTGTATTTTTAGTAGAGATGGAGTTTTACCATCTTGGCCAGTCTGATCTTGAAGTCCTGACCTGATGCTCCACCTGCCTCAGCCTCCTGAAGTGCTGGGATTATAGGCATTAGCCACCGTGCCTATTTCTATTATTACATTGTAATATATAATGAAATAATTATACAACTCACCATAATGTAGAATCAGTGGGAGCCCTGAGCTTGTTGTCCTGCAACTCGGCAGTCCCATCTGGGGGTGATGGGAGACAGTGACAGATCATCAGGCATTAGATTATCATAAGGAGTGCACAACCTAGATCCCTTGCATGCACAGTTCACAGTAGGGTTCACGCTCCTGTGAAAATCTAATGCTGCCGCTGATCTGACAAGAGACGAAGCTCAGGCAGTAATGCAAGTGATGGGGTTCAGCTGTAAATACAGAGGAAGCTTTGCTCACTCACCTGCCACTCACCTCCTGCTGTGCAGCCCCTAGCACCTAACAGGCCATCGACCTCTACCAGTCCATGGCCTAGAGGCTGGGGTCCCCTGCTTTAAACCACGTGTTTCAACTTAGAAATTATTATTCAATACATAAATAAGAAAAATGAGGCTGGATGTGGTGGCTCACGCCTGTAATCTCAGCACTTTGGGAGGTCAAGGTGGGTGAATCACGAGGTCAGGAGTTCAAGACCAGCCTGGCCAAGATAGTGAAACCCTGTCTCTACTACAAATACAAAAATTAGCCAGGCATGGTGGCACATGCCTTTAATCCCAGCTACTCGGGAGGCTGAAGCAGAGAATTGCTTAAACCCAGGAGGCGGAGGTTGCACTGAGCTGAGATCATGCCACTGCACTCCAGCCTGGGTGACAGAGTGAAACTCCGTCTCAAAAAAAAAAAAATTTAGAAAAAAGAAAGAAAGAAAAAGAAAAAAAATGACCTTAACTTTTCCTTTGATTAATATTTGAACTCAAGTTGAAGATTCTGAATTTCTGAAGACACTCAGCCCTATTTACAGCCTAATTTCCTTCCTGCCAACATTTTAAATCTATTTGTAAATTTAATATATTTGATTTTCTTTTTAAGTACTTTATAACATAACCAGCACAGTTTTCCCCAGAATACTTAAAGTTACTACAAAATCTAATCAGTTAAACTTATAATGAATTTACAGTCTTTGTAAATAATTCTTTTTATAGACTTAGTAAACTTTTCTTGTGCCAGTGGCTCTTAGTATAAGGAGCTAAAAAGAACACAAACAAATAAACAGTCTGTATTGCTGACATGAAATAGGAATATATGGGGGACCCCTTAGTAACCTTTACAGCACCCCAGTGATTATGATATACAGTTCATATTTTCAATCACTGCTAACCTCTCAGTCTAAAAGCACAACTCATATAAATTACTGACATATATTTTATCAAGTACTGTCTCTATATTTTAACTTCTGTATTTTAAATTGGAATCACAATGCTTATCTGTTAGATACTCAACATATCATATTTTTTTCAATATTACAGATAATTTTTGTGTTTTGTTTTGAAACAGTATCTCACTCTCTTACCCAGGCTTGAGTGCAATGGTGCCATCTTGGGACCATAGCTGGGTGCCATAGCTGGGACCACAGGCCAGAGCCCACACCACCACGTCTGGCTAATTTTTTTTTTGTTGAGACCTAGTCTTGATTTTGGTGATTGCAGTGGCATGATCTTGGCTCACTGCAACCTCCGCCTCCTGGGTTCAAGCAGTTCCCTGCCTCAGCCTCCCAAGTAGCTGGGATTATAAGCACCTGCCACCATGCCCGGCTAATTTTTGTATTTTTAATAGAGACAAGGTTTCATCATGTTGGCCAGGCTAGTCTTTTTTTTTTTTTTTAAAGATGGGGTTTCACCATGTTGGTCAGGCTGTTCTTGAACTCCTGACCTCAGGTGATCCGCCCGCCTTGGCCTCCAAAGTGCTTGGATTACAGGCGTGAGCCACCGCGCCCGGCTGGCCAGGCTAGTCTTGAACTCCTGACCTTGTGATCCACCCACCTCGGCCTCTCAAAATGCTAGGATCACAAGCGGGAGTCACCACACCTGGCCTATTGGGCTAATTTTTAAAAAATTATTTGTAGAGACAAGGTCTCCTTATGGTTTTGAACTCCTGGGCTCAAGTGATCCTCCTGCCTTCCAAAGGGCTAAGATAACAGTTGTGAGCCACCATCCCCACCCTACAGACACTTCTTTTTTTTGTTTTTTGAGATGGAGTCTCACTATGTTGCCTAGGCTGGAATGCAGTAGCTTGACCTTGGCTCACCACAACCTCAGCTTACTGCAACCTCTGCCTCCCGGGTTCAAGCAGTTCTCTTGCCTTAACCTCCCAAGTAGCTGGGATTACAGGCATGCACCACTACGCCGGGCTAATTTTTTGTATTTTTGTTAGAGACGGGGTCTTACCAGGTTGGCCAGCCTGGTCTTGAACTCTTGACTTCAGGTGATCTGCCTGCCTCAGCCTCCCAAAGTGTTGAAATTACAGTTGTGAGCCACTGCAACCAGCCAGATACTTTTTAATTCCAAGAATATACTGATTATTACTAAACTTAGGATAGGAACATTAATACAGTGAGTTTGATTTGCTCTTATGCTCCTATTTTCAATTCTAAACTTTCTAGGAGTGTGACAAGACACTTATCAAGTAAGAAAACAGCTTTATCCACTTAATGCATTGTGCTTAGCATCAAGTTGGACTACCACTTCAGTGACCTGAG